GACTAGACCAGGGACTAGACCAGAGACCAGAGACCAGAGACCAGAGACCAGACCAGAGACCTGAGACCAGACCAGAGACCAGAGACCAGAGACCAGAGACCAGAGACCAGAGACCAGACCTGAGAACAAGGACTAGACCAGAGACCAGACCTGAGAACAAGGACTAGACCAGAGACCAGACCAGAGACCAGAGACCAGACCAGACCAGAGACCAGAGACCAGACCTGAGACCAGGGACTAGACCAGAGACCAGACCAGAGACCAGACCAGAGACCAGACCAGACCAGAGACCAGACCAGAGACCAGAGACCAGAGACCAGAGACCAGAGACCAGACCAGAGACCAGAGACCAGACCAGAGACCAGACCAGAGACCAGACCAGAGACCAGAGACCAGACCAGAGACCAGAGACCAGACCAGAGACTAGAGACCAGACCAGACCAGACCAGACCAGAGACCAGACCAGAGACCAGACCAGAGACCAGACCAGAGACCAGACCAGACCAGAGACCAGACCAGAGACCAGACCAGAATCCATACAGCCAAGACACCAGACCAGACCAGAGTCCATATAGTCCAGACCAAAGTCTAGACCTGAGACCAGCCCAGATGGACCAGAGCCCAGACCAAAGATCAAGACTTGAGACTGGAGACCTTCATGCAGACCAGAGCTTGGACTAGAGACCAGACCAAAGCCCAGAAAAGTCCAGACCTGGTCCTTGTGGGTCTGGTCTCTGGTGAAATCTGGCAGTGATTTTCTCTAATAGAGGCTCATTTTATTTTGAAAGGCTCATTTTACTTTGAAGGCTGATGTAGATTAGACTAATGATCTCTGGACCGGGGAGGGCAACAGCTGGACTTTATCACAATATTTTGAGTTTGTTTTGCGCATTCACAGGTCAGACATCGTTTCTGAATGTTTTGTGGACTTATTCGTGATAAAATATTTGAAGGAAACTAAAACAAAAAGGCCAAAAGGTTTTTATGTGGAAGGACTCGTGAGACCTGAACCATAAACAGTAGAGTCGTAGTCAAGAGCGAACTAATCCAGACCGAGACCAGACCGAGACCACAGGGTCCAGAGACCAGACCGAGACCACAGGGTCCAGAGACCAGACCGAGACCACAGGGTCCAGAGACCAGGACGAGACCACAGGGTCCAGAGACCAGACCGAGACCACAGGGTCCAGAGACCAGAGACCAGGACGAGACCACAGGGTCCAGAGACCAGGACGAGACCACAGGGTCCAGAGACCAGACCGAGACCACAGGGTCCAGAGACCAGACCGAGACCACAGGGTCCAGAGACCAGGAAGAGACCACAGGGTCCAGAGACCAGGACGAGACCACAGGGTCCAGAGACCAGACGACCACAGGGTCAGAGACCAGACAGACCACAGGTCAGAGACCAGAGAGACCACAGGTCCAGAGACCAGAGACCACAGGGTCAGAGACCAGGACGAGACCACAGGGTCCAGAGACCAGGACGAGGACCACAGGGTCCAGAGACCAAGACCAAAAGGTCGAGACCGAGACGAGCCCAAGACCACGACCCATCGAGACCAAATCAAGACCATCTTTGTCATTTTCTACATTTATTTGTATTTTACAGTTATTTTGGCACAAATATATCAATGTTATTTTTTATAAATATATCATTTGATCTGATTAATGTTCATTTAGGCTTTTTTTTTTTTTTGGACCCTCAACCACAGTTTGAGAATCCCTAATTTAAGAGAACTTCACTTTACACTTTACAGAAAACTGTGAAGAAAGAGAATAAAGTTGGATTTTTAGACCTGTTTTTTTTGTTTTGTTTGTTTGTTTGTTTTTTTCAAGTTTTTTACTGGAGTTTCATTCTCTTACTGGTTTACTGGTTTTGCAGTGGAATTTATTCTCTGCACTTTTATCAAACACTTGGCGTGACAAGTGACAAAAACAGAAGCATTTGTGAACTTTTATTAGGCAAATTTCAGCCACATGTCATGGTAAGTTAATTGCCGGACATAATGAAACATGATCGCACTTGTCGAGTGTCAGACCTCGAGTCCGAGACAAGACTGAGTCCAGACATGGTCAAGTCCGAGACGAGACCAAGATGTAAAAAACATTCTTGAGACTCGAGTACTATGACACTCATAAGTAGGTTAAAACATCTGGTTATGGAACTCCACAGCAACTGTCTTCTCAGGTTCTGGAAGAACATTTGCAAACATCTTTACTGAAACAGACCCTCAGCCAGAAAAGTTAAGCCCAATTTACGGTCCAGCGTCAAACCAACTGTGTCACAACACAAAGCTTCTGCGTTGACTGACGTGCACCTCTAAAATTTTCTAACTACGCGTCAAAACAACGCAGAGAGCAGGGGAAGCGACGCGGATGATAAGAGCTGTGATTGGTCGTCTCTACATCCACCCTACAGACATTTCCTGTGCTCCACTTTCCGTTCTTTCAATATAAATTGAGTAATAATGTGTTTAATAGATTTGCGAACATTTGTTTACGTTTTACAGAAACTAAACTTAAAACCACATGACTGATTTGCATAAACTAAGCACTTGGAATTGTGTTTTTCAGTTTTACATGAACTAATGAAAGTGCTTTTCTCGTGTTTCTGTTTTTTAAAGCGTCTCCACACCTGAACCAGGCCGGAAAACCCTGCCTCAAACTCAAGGTCTACGTCAAACCTACAAGTGAGTCTTTCTCTCGCACTCTGAAGACTCTCAAGAGACCAGAGACCAGATCAGAGACTGGACCAGAGACCTGAGACCAGAGGCCAGACCAGAGACCAAACCAGAGACCAGACCAGACCAGACCAGAGACCAGACCAACTGAGACAGAGAGCCAGAAGAGACCAGACCAGAGACCAGAAGAACTAGAGACAGACCAGACTAGACCAGACCAGAGACCAAACCAGAGACTAGACCAGACTAGACAGAGACAGACCAGAGACCAGACGAGACCAGACAAGAGATCAGACCAGACCAGACCAGACTAGACCAGAGACTAGAGAGACTAGACCAGACCAGACCAGAGACCAGAGACTAGACCAGAGAGACCAGAGACCAGAGACTAAACCAGAGACTAGAGACAGAGAAGATAGACCAGAGAAGACCAGACCAGAGACTAGACCAGACCAGACTAGACTAGACCAGAGACTAGAGACTAAACAGACTAAACAGACCAGACCAGACCAGAGACTAGACCAGAGACTAAACCAGAGACTAGACCAGACCAGACCAGAGACTAGACCAGAGACTAGACCAGAGACTAGACCAGAGACTAAACCAGAGACTAAACCAGAGACTAGAACACAGACCAGAGACTAGACCAGACCAGAGACTAACCAGACAGACAGACCAGACCAGACTAGACCAGAGACTAGACCAGACCAGACCAGAGACTAGACCAGAGACTAGACCAGAGACTAGACCAGAGACCAGACAGAGAGACTAGACTAGAGACCAGACCAGAGACTAAACCAGAGACTAGACCAGAGACTAGACCAGACCAGAGACTAGACCAGAGACCAGAGACTAGACCAGAGACTAAACCAGAGACTAGACCAGAGACCAACCAGAGACTAGACCAGACCAGACCAGAGACTAGACCAGAGACTAGACCAGAGACTAGACCAGAATAAACCAGAGACTAGACCAGACCAGACCAGAGACTAGACCAGAGACTAGACCAGAGACTAAGACCAGAGACTAGACCAGAGACTAGACCAGAGACTAGACCAGAGACTAGACCAGAGACTAAACCAGAGACTAGAACCAGACCAGACTAGACCAGAGACTAGACCAGAGACTAGACCAGACCAGACCAGAGACTAGACCAGAGACTAGACCAGAGACTAGACCAGAGACTAGACCAGAGACTAGACCAGAGACAGACAAGAGATAGACCAGAGACCAGACCAGAGACTAGACCAGAGACTAGACCAGAGACTAGACCAGAGACTAAACCAGAGACTAAACCAGAGACTAGACCAGACACCAGACCAGAGACTAAACCAGAGACTAGACCAGAGACAGAGACTAGACCAGACTAGACCAGACCAGACTAGACTAGAACCAGAGACTAAACCAGAGACTAAACCAGAGACTAGACCAGAGACCAGAGACTAGACCAGAGACTAGACCAGAGACTAGACCAGACCAGACCAGAGACTAGACCAGAGACTAGACCAGAGACTAGACCACCAGAGACTAGAGACCAGAGAGACTAAGACCAGAGAGACTAGACCAGAGACTAAACCAGAGACTAGACCAGAGACTAAACCAGAGACTAAACAGAGACCAGACCAGAGACTAGAGACTAGACCAGAGACTAGACCAGAGACTAGACCAGAGACTAGACCAGACCAGAGACTCGAGGCCAAAGACTAGACCAGAGACTAGACCAGAGACTAACCAGAGGACTAAACAGAGACCAGACCAGAGACCAGACCAGAGACCAGACCCGAGACCAGACCAGAGCTTAAACAGTGCAAGGTTTCTATCTATGACGCAACAATCCTATCAGTATAGTATTTTCAGAGGCAAATCTCGAGTTATCTTAATTTTACTCCTTTTCCGAGAGTAAAACTGACGGAAAATGAGAAAATGCTCTGTTTTTGACGTGTTTTTCAGATGACTCCATTTACGAGTCGCCGGAGCCCTTCCTCACGGACGACACCACGGGGGGCGGAGCTGCGCCGGAGCCCCGCCTCCTCCTGCTCGCCGCCGTCTTGGTCCTGCTCGGCCTCCTGTTCGGCTCGTCATAGCACCGCCCCCTACGTCAGCCTCGGCCAATCACGAGAGACCTGCACCAGCCGCAGCCAATCACGGGAGAGCTGAGCAGGAGAAGGGGGGGGGGCGGAGTCAGCGGACAATGGGCGGAGCTTAAACCCCCCACGGGAAAATGAAGACTCCAGTTCATCTCATTAATGCAGTTAAACCAGGACTAAAACAGGACTAAACCAGAACTAAACCAGACTTAAACTAGGACTAAACCTGGTCTAAACATGGACTAGGACTTTGAAAACTAGCGCCAAGTCTAAAATCAGCAAAATGAAACCGAACCACTAATCCGGAGCTCAACCATGAAACCTAAACTGAAACTAAAATGAAAGAATCTCACCGGGACTAAACCAGGTCTTAACAAGGACTGGACCAGGACTGAATCGAGACTGGACCAGGACTGAATCGAGACTGGACCAGGACTGGACCAGGACTAACTCTTGAACAGCATTTATTGGGTCTGAGGATTATGAAGTGATTGAGATTATCTTTGCGAGTCGCAGAAATGAGCCAAACGTTTTTGTAAAAATGAAACGAGAATTCAGCTCACACCTGGTTTCAGCACGACACGACAATCACAGCCAAATCTAGACTCTAATCATTTTGTAAACAGATTTTATTCACCCGGGACAGTCCCAGTTTTGAGTCCTGTGTCCAAAAACCACTGATTTGTCCAAGTTTTATACAAGAAATGTCCCACGTGTTTCTATTTTTGACCAATTTGAAACCCAATCATTCTAAAGAGGAAACTATTGTCTTATTTTTTAAGCTAAAATACAAAAAACATGCTTTAAAAATGACCATAACGTGAAAAAATGCACCAACAATAGTCCTTGAGATTTTATACTGACCTATAAGTGAGTCGAGAATTGACAATTTTAGTAATTTAATTTAATATAAAGTAAATTAAACTCCCTTGTCTGAGGCTACGTCCACACAACAACGCTCCTGGATTTTTTTCTTTGCGGGTTGAAAAATATTCACGTCCACACGACATGCAAATCTCATCACCGTTTTTTTAACTTTAAGGTAATTTAGCCTATTTTAGTTGTATCCCAGAAATATAGACGTTTTGTTTTGCAAAATTTAAACATAAGACACAGAAAAAACACTCATATTCCACAGAGTCGTGTCCTTTAGTCTGACAGAAGTTGAACCGCATCAGCGCACAAGGAAAGAGCTGTTTTTTTGAGCACTTAGGCTGTGTTCAGACTGCAGCCTGAAGTGATCCAAATCCGATTTTTTGGCCTCTATGTTCCTGTATCTGATCTTTTAATGTCAGTCTGAACGACACAGATCCGATTTTTTCAAATGTGACCCAGGCCACTTGGATATGTGCTCCTGAAACTGATACATATCTGATCTTTTGACATGCGACTTCAGTCTGAACGGCCAAAGCGCATTCATTTGATCTACACGTTATCAACAAACCACAAACGTCACTATTCTGCGCTGAAGTAGGAGAAAATTGTTAATGAACTCTGTGTCACTGAAGTGAAGCACATCTCCACTCACCACTCTTGGCTCCGTCTCCACATCCACACGTTCCTTTCAACAGACTGAACCACAAAACACCACGACCAAAAACCTCGTCCTTCTCCTTCTCAATCTCCTCCTTAAAACAAGTAAGTTGTTCATGTTCTGGCTCCGGTACGAGAGGAACTTTAAAATCTCCAGGTGCTCGATGCTGCGTCCATGTTTGGACAACTTCTGTAAACACAGAGACGCTCGCTGCGGTTGACGTCGTCGTGTCTCCAGTGTCACATGTGGGACACTTTCGGGCCGTTTAATGTTCACACTGGAGTCACATACAAGTCACATTTAACTGGAAATGTGAACGACCTCGCAAAAACATCTGATTTCACACAAAAAATCTGAATTGAGCATTAAACCCTGCAGTCTGAACGTAGCCATAGTTTATGCAAATGAGCCATGAGGTTTTAAGTTTCGTTTCTGTAAAACGTAAACAAATGTGATCAAAGCTGTGTGGATAGGGAAGGCCTGCGGACACAGAAACGACGTGTGTGGACGCAGATCGTTTCGGACACGGTGATACGTGGATTCGTTTCAGTATAAACGTAATCTTTGTTATTTATCCATGTGCGTAATCTGCGGTGCGTGTTGTTAGTATTGGCGATAACAACGTGTCTCGGTTGTTGGGCGACAGGAGCGACTCCGTGGGCTACACCTGTCCCATTTTGGCGACGCTCTTGTGGTCTGTGGAGGATAGTTCGAGGGCTTTGTTGCATCGGGGGACTCTGGCCATGACGGGATCGTGGCGTCATCGTTTTCCAAAAGCTGCGGTTTGCTCGTCCTCACGAAAACGCGACGCCGGCGTTCTCAGATTTCTCCACTCTGGAACCCATTCTTAAAAAACTCAATTTTCTCCCACCTGAAACGCCGACTCCGTGTGGAAGAAAGGCCAAAACGAATACAAACTTCTCCGCTTTGACCAAAAAACGTTGTCGTGTGGACGGCCCCTAAACCTAAAGCGACGTTCAGACTGAAGCCTGAATTGACCCAAATCTGATTTTTTTCACTCCTCTGCTCCTGTACCTGATCTTTTAATGACAGTCTGAACAACACAAATCTGTTTTTTTCAAATGCGACCCAGGACACTTAGAAATGTGCTCCTAAAACTGATACATATCTGATCTTTTGACATGCGACTTCAGTCTGAACGGTCAGGTCACATTCGTCCCACCTACACATCAGGCTCAGAGTCGAAAGCGAGGTTAGCGAGTTCTTTAATATTTTGGAGGATCGCTGTATTCAGGCCAAATTGGAGGCGGGTTTTTTTTACTTATCGCCAAAGAAATGTCCAAGCGTGACTACAGTTGGTCCTGGCTCCAACGTCAACGAAAAATAAAGATCCCGCGAGACAAATACAAGGAGGACTCAAAAATAAAGACTCAAACAAACGAAGCAGCCGTGGACGTGTAATCTGTCCATTTTACCAACAACTGGACCAGATTTTGCGAGACAAGCCCAGCGTTTAGGCGACTTTGCTGCGTGTGACGTCGTCGCGTCCTCCCATGCTCATGCGGGACACTTTTGGGGCGTTTAAAGTTCACACTGGAGATCACAAATAAGTCGCGTTTAACCGGAAATGTGAACGACCTCGCAAAAAAATAATCAGATTTCACAAAAAAATCCAAACTGAGCGTTAAGGCCTGCAGTCCCAACCCAGGATTATGGAAAGATGGTCACTCTATTCTTGAGCAATGCTATTTTATATCCAGACATTTCTAAAAAACAACAACAACAAAAAATGCATTAAAAATCAGACAAACAGACTGTTCAATTAAAGTTTTATATGATAATTCACAAGTAATTTTCCAAAGTAAATGTTTAGGTCAGTTTTTTGCCCATGTATTTGAGTAAAATGCGTCTACCGATCTATTTTACGAGCAGTTCTTGACGCGAAAATAAGTCAGACGATCAGGAAGTGCTCGTTCGCATGCGCGTTTACCGTCTGCCCCACTGCAAACTGTTTAAAATGAAGTAGTTTTTCTGTTTTTCACGTTTTTAAGACTTATAAAACTTCTTAGACAACTGTGATTTGGTCGTAAAACCATAAAAAAAAAATAAAAAATCTATTCCATGCACCAGTGTTTTCATGCAATTTTACCCGTGAAAAAGCCATACGAATAAATAACGGCCTATAATAATCTACTGTAAATGTTGTAAACCAGCTGTGAACAGAATTTGAGTTTAAAAAAAGCAATATTTGAAACTGCAATAACTTTTTATTAAAGGCTTATACAAAGACATAATGCGCAAACTCTATCTACAGATATATGGAAGCAGCTATACGAAGCATATGCATGTCAACATACTTTAATACATGTCGTGAAATTGTTTCAAATGTCCGGGAAAGTCCTGTTTATTTATTGTTTTGTATTTATCGTTTATTGTTTGAAAAATGACGAATGTTGAATTAAATGTCTCAGGATTTTAATACAATTTCAAAAGAAGCTTGATTTCAGTTTGGCTCATTCCTGCGACTTTTCGGAAAATGGTTAAATATTTGTGTTTTTTTGCCATGTTACTTCTGTAAATCTGCCAAAGACTTTCTATTGGATGTTGTTGTTGTTTTGGAGGCGGGACTTACATGGAAAAAGGCGGAGTTTGTTTCATTTTGTTGTGCTTTTTTTTGGTAAATGTCGTTTCTCTGTTTAAACAAAAATATTGAATGTTCTTATGCGCAAAACCCACCGACCAATCAGCGATGGCCTTTTCCCCCCAAGGTGCTTAAAGTAACGGTGTTTTTAAAATCGACATCACGACGCACTGCAAAAACACACACAGGCTCCACGTGACTGGGATTCAGAAGATTCATCGGCATTGGGAGCATTTCTACTTGAATTTTAGGATTTTAGTTACAAATAAGACTGCAACTTTCAATTTTCACTTCCTCCTAACCCTGTCCTTCTTACCCTCCTGCTCAGAAAAATGGATTTTGGAGATACTTGCGAGTTCACAAACTTACGTGGACATGCATACCCACTGTAAGAGTAATCAGGCGAGTGACGCTTTGACCAGATCAGATCAAATCAAAGCGCTAGATTGGAAAAACAAAACAAGAGAATTTACCAACACAGACGAGAAAGCAACACAGGACCACAGTCGGCTGTACATCTGCTTCTAAAAGCCTCGGGACGCTCCTTTGAGGACAGTGAGGTACAGATCTGAGCCAGAGAAAAGAATTGGTTTGAGAGGGGAGTTAAAGAAGCCTTCTTTGAACAGAAATGGAAGTTTGTCTCACATCTACAACATCTACATCCTCAAACCTAAAACAAAGAGAACAAGCCAGGTCAGGGCCAGAGATGTGAAAACACAATGATTCTGCTAATATGACCCCACACTCAGTACAGATGAATAAACCGAGCTACTAAAAAGAAACTTTAAAGAAATAGGTGTGTTAGTTTCAGAGTAGTTTCAGTGTAGTTAGCATTTTGACCAGAACTGAAGAAGCAGCTTGGATGAGTTGAGAAACATATTCGACCTAAATAAATGTTTGTCCACTTGACAAATTGAATTTCTCCTTTAAACACAACAAAATCCAGGCATGCCAAAGAGGTAAAAATCGCACGAGGAAAAGCATAGTTAGTACTTTCAAGGGTTGCACATATCAGTCAGTCATGAGCCAGGATGCTTTAACTCCAAGTCACACACTAAAGGGTTCAGTAGTAGAAAAAACATCCTTGTTACAGTAAAATGCCACTGTAATGCCCTTTACTGCCCCACCTGCCCCCACCCCATCTCCCTTTCACTCTCCCATTTAGTCCTCCAGACCCCGTCACTCTCTTCTTTAGCCTTCCATACCTCGCCCCTCTCCCCTTTAGCCCTCCAGACCTCGCCCCTCTCCCCGTCACTCTCCTCTTTAGCCCGCCAGACCCTTGCCTTTCTTCACGTCACTCTGCCCTTTAGTCCTCTAGACCCCGCCCCTCCCCTTTAGCCCTCCAGACCCTGTCACTCTTCCCTTTAGTCCTCCAGACCCCGTCATTCTCGCCGTCACTCTCCCCTTTAGCCCTCCAGACCCCATCCCTCTCTCTGTCACTCTCCCCTTTGGCCCTCCAGTCCCACCCCTCTCCCCTTTGGCCCTCCAGTCCCACCCCTCTCCCCTTTAGCCCTCCAGACCATGCCCCGCTCCTCGTCACTCTCCCCTTCAGCCCTCCAGAGCCTGTGACTCTCCCCTTTAGCCCTCCAGAGCCTGTGACTCTCCCCTTTAGCCCTCCACAGCCTGTCACTCTTCCTTTTAGTCCTCTAGACCCCACTCCTCTCCACTTTACTCTCCTCTTTAGCCCTCCAGACAATCCAGGCCCAAAAGGAACCCGCTCCAGGCCAGTCGGAGTAACTTGCTCCGCGATGACTCGTCTGAACTCCAGTCGTCCGCGGCGCTCGGCCCGTTTGGTTTTTTGCAGTGAACATGTTTTCATTCATTGTCCCTCTGTCTGGGCGGAGGGGGCGTGGCCTGCGGAGGAGCACAGGTGCATGCTGGGAAATGCAGTATCCGAGGAGCGCACTGTGAGGATGTAGCACTCGAACTCTTTCTGGAGACAAGACGAACGTGGACCATTGTTCCGGGTGTTTCTCCTGAACGTTCTGCTGCGGACGCGGGAGGAGAGTCGATGTTGTTGTTGATGTAAATGTTGTGTTTCTTTGGTCACGATGCATTCTGGGTAATGTAGTCCTGTGAAAATGGTTCAATAAAAGGTTTTTTATATGTCGGCTGAGATCACACGGAACACGGACGTCGTTTCACCAAATCGACCTTTGCCAAAAACGTCGGATTGTGTCGGGATGTGGGAGATGACAGCCAAAGGAGCGACATTTCCATAGAGTCAGGTCTGCGGAGAGGCGAGCACGCTCACAGTAAGGTTTTTCAGTGCAAAAAATACAAAAAAAATGCGACAAATCCGGTTTTGTTTCATCATTTTTTATTATTTTATTTGGTTAAAAAGTGACAGACTATGGTTTTACAAGATTCAGGGACTAAATCAGAACTAAAACCATGAGTAAATCAGGACTAATCCAGAACTAAGCCAGAACTAATACCAGGACTACAATCAGGACTAAAACCAGGACTAAAAATAGGTCTAAACCAGAACTAAAACCAAGACCAAACCAGGACTAAACTAGAACCAAAACCAGGAGTAAAGCAGGACTAAACCAGGACTAAAACAGGACTAAAACCAGGACTAAACCAGAACTAAAGCAGGACTAAACCAGGACTAAACTAGAACTAAAGCAGGACTAAACCAGAACTAAACTAGAACTAAAGCAGGTCTAAACCAGGATTAAACCAGAACTAAAACAAGACTAAACCAGGTCTAAACCAGTGTATGTAACATTTAACTAAAACTTTCACACTGTAACTCTTGCGTTCTGACTGAAGCGGCCTTGCATCTCCACAAACCCGACTCCTGAAAAGTTTGTAGTTCCTTTCGTTTTAATGTTCCACAGTAAAACTCATCACGGTTTTAACTTTCTGTTTCCATGGGACCCTCACCTTTAAGTTGAAATGAAAAGACTGTCATGAAGCAGCTTGTGGGACGGCGACGGATCATAAAAATCAGGGCAAACTTTGAATTTTCTGTTTGGTTTCTTTCAGAAAATAAGTTCCACAGAGTCACATTTTGCCTCTTCGGGGGTTTCATGGTCATGTCCTGAAGCTTCGTCTGTTCTTGAAGCTTCAGTTTGTTTTAATACCCTCCTGAGGTCCTCCTGAAGTCCTCCTGAAGTCCTCCTGAGGTCTTCCTGAGGTCCTCTTGAAGTCCTCTTGAGGTCTTCCTGAGGTCTTCCTGAAGTCCTCCTGAGGTTTTCCTGAGGTCCTCCTGAAGTCCTCTTGAGGTCTTCCTGAGGTCTTCCTGAAGTCCTCCTGAGGTTTTCCTGAGGTCCTCTTGAAGTCCTCTTGAGGTCTTCCTGAGGTCTTCCTGAAGTCCTCCTGAGGTTTTCTTGAGGTCCTCTTGAAGTCCTCTTGAGGTCTTCCCGAGGTCTTCCTGGGGTCCTCTTGAAGTCTTCTTGAGGTCCTCCTGAGGTCCTCCTGAGGTCCTCTTGAGGTCTTCCTGAGGTCTTCCTGAAGTCCTCCTGAGGTTTTCCTGAGGTCCTCTTGAAGTCCTCTTGAGGTCTTCCTGGGGTCCTCTTGAAGTCTTCTTGAGGTCTTCCTGAGGTCCTCTTGAAGTCCTCTTGAGGTCTTCCTGAGGTCTTCCTGAAGTCCTCCTGAGGTTTTCCTGAGGTCCTCTTGAAGTCCTCTTGAGGTCTTCCTGAGGTCTTCCTGAAGTCCTCCTGAGGTTTTCCTGAGGTCCTCTTGAAGTCCTCTTGAGGTCTTCCTGAGGTCTTCCTGAAGTCCTCCTGAGGTTTTCTTGAGGTCCTCTTGAAGTCCTCTTGAGGTCTTCCCGAGGTCTTCCTGGGGTCCTCTTGAAGTCTTCTTGAGGTCCCCCTGAGGTCCTCCTGAGGTCCTCCTGAGGTCTTCCTGAGGTCCCCCTGAGGTCTTCCTGAGGTCCTCCTGAGGTCTTTGTCTTCTCGTGGTCCATGTGATCTCAGCTTCTTCTGTTCTTGGTGAAAATGTGATGTTTCAGGTTCAAAGGTGAAAGGTTCCAGTGCTGTGATGTTACCAGAGTGATTATAGAGCTCTAGAGGGGACAAATACACTGCTGCTGTGGCATTCGGACGCCATCTTGGAACTGTATTGTAAATTTTTTTGGTTTTTTTGACGGGAGTAAAAACAGTTTAATAGAATACTCTAGAACAACTGGGGAGACATGACTCACGCAAAAGAGAAATTAACGGTCCACATCTGTACACATCTGCAGCAGGATTGATACTAGTAATTGTGCGTATGTGCATTAGTTGTAAAATTATGTTGCCATGACGACCTACTCAGAGTTTTGAGCGTCACCTTTTTTGCCTCGTATACAACTGATGATGAACTGAGCCTCTAAACCAGGACTAAAACCAGGACTAAAATCAGGACTAAAACCAAGTCAACGCAGGTCTAAACCAGGACTAAACCAGGACTAAACCAGAACTAAACCAAAACTAAAAACAGGACTAAAATCATAAACCAGGCCTACAACAAGGACTAAACCAGGACTAAACCAGGATTAAATCAGGTCTAAACCAGGACTAAAGAAGGACTAAACCAGGACTACAACAGGGACTAAAACCAGGAGTAAACCAGGACTAAAATAAGGACTAAACCAGGACTAAACCAGATCTAAACCAGGACTACAACAAGGACTAAACCAGGACTTAAACAAAGACTAAAACCAGAAGTAAACCAGGTCTAAACCAGGACTAATCCAGTACTTAAACAAGGACTAAAACCAGGACTAAACCAGGACTAAAACCAGGACTAAACCAGGAGTAAACCAGGACTTAAACAAAGACTAAAACCAGGAGTAAACCAGGTCTAAACCAGGTCTAAACTAGGACTAAACTGGGTCTAAACTAGGACTAAAACCAGGACTAAATCAGGTCTAAACTAGGACTAAAATCAGGACTAAAACCAAGACTAAACCAGAACTAAAACCAGGAGTAAGCCAGGTCTAAATCAGGACTAAATAAGAACTAAACAGAAACTAAACCAGGACTAAAATCAGAAGTAAAACCAGGTCAAACCAAGATTTAACCAGGACTAAACTTTTCTACAAAATGTTTTTACACAGACATGATGAGTTAGAGGCCCTGCACCCAGATCATGAGGTCCAGGTCTTTCGTAAACCTGTAAGTTGGTGTAAAATGGTTCTTCATGATCATTCAGTGACTCTGGATAATACAGAGATCAGACCAGTAAACATTACACCGAGTCCTGTACAGTCCCAAGATGGCCGCCGCAGCTCCCGTGTTCTCTCTGGAGTTTTATATTCTCTCTGTCCTGTTTTTACAGCCAGTTTCTCCATTTACAAACCTCATTTTCATATCAGTCCAATGCAGTAGGGGTCAAGGGTCAGGGGTCAACGCTGCATGATAAAAACATGTACAAATCTGTGTTTGATAAATCACCAACAATAAAGACATGATACACAAACTCGTGTGTGTTTCTGTTTTCTTACAAAAAAAAAAAAAAAAATCAAATTTAACAGTCAATTTTTTGTTGAAAACTCTGCAATTTTACATTTTTGAGGGCTGAAGTCGTCTTGATTTACAGATTACGTCATTTTGTACATGAATTAAAAAAAAAAAAACACCGCTGAAATAAAATAATGCAGCTTTAGTTGATGCATGAGATAAATGCACTTTTTGCCAGTTGAAGATACTGAAATTTGGGGATCTGGTCAAATTAAAATCATGCCAAATCTTATTCAAAGCTAAACTCAACCAGCTTCCAGAAAATATTCAAAAACTGTTTTGCACAAATGAGTTCAAATACAACCTGAGAGGTCAAATGAATTTTAAAAAACAATTCTCTCGAGCCACTCTCGAAAGCAAAGTGTGTTACAGACGTGGAGTGGATTTATGGAACAGTTCAGACGACCAGATTAAAGCTTGTACGAACTTGGTGCACTTCAAAAAACAATATAAAAATCAAATCTTACAGAAATACCTAGAAGACCAAACCGCGACTATTAACTAAACACATGCTTTTCTTGAACTTTTTAACTTTTTATCTTGGTACAATCATAAACGAAAACAACCCCCCCCAAATTTTTCAGTCACATTACTGTTTATTTTGTACGATCATAAAGGAAAACAACTGTATTTACAAAAATGCAGTCCTACCACTGAGAGAACAGGTTTCACCAGGGTCCTTGGAGTTGAATGACTATGGAGGGATTCTGCCAGTGTCCTCCTCTGAGAGGGAGACACCACTGAAAGGCCCAGATCACCTAGAGATTAGAGATAGGTTTACTCACATCTGCTTTCTGCTGAGCTGCTTATGTTATCCCAATCTACAAATTAAAAACCTGATATGAAGCTATCTTGATTGAGCAAGTCATGTTTCCCAGAGCACTCATCATTTTCTTCTCTGTCAAGTGAAATCAAACTTATACCACAAGTGCCAATTGCCTCACAGCTGATTAATTTATGAGAAAAGAAAATGAAACTGAATAAGAGTTTATAAATACCTCTCAGGTGTAGATGAGGGTGGGTACGAAGGGGAAGAGGCGACTGGCTTTTGTGGTTCAACTTTTTCACATGGGCCCAGTGGGAGAGGGGCAGTTGGTTTACTGTTTTTATGGAAGCAAGAGCACAGTTGTCCGATACACCAGTAACCTGCATGAAAACAAACACATGTAAGTCACTTCTAAAATAACAACCGGCACATAAATAAAATTTAAATACTCTGCTGGTTTACCAAGAGAAAGTGTGAGAAGCAGAAGGCTGAGACTACAGAGATCCAGTGCTGGCTGCTGGTTCACTTCAGCGATTGCATTCAGGGGCACAGTAAGTAACAGCATGGCTCGAGGGAATCCAGGACAACGAAGAAATGTCAACAGCACCGCACCAAGGACAAAGTAACCAGTATGAGCCATACATGTCCACATGGCGGTTAAACTCAATCCTGCAAAAGAAGTTATGAATTATGTAATGTATAGTATGTAACTTTCTGGAGGTAACATCCAGGCCCGTCGACAGAAATTTGGGGACCTGGGGCAAGAAACCTCACACGGGCCCCCTCCAATATAAATGAATAGGAATTAATAGGAAGAAGGTTCAATTGAGGCTCCCAGGACAACAGACACCTTTGTCCCTAGCACATGACCTACACAATTCCATGGAAACTGGGGAAAAAAAAAAAAAAAACATACTTCGGAACATTATCCATGGCATAGACTTTCAGTGCAATGAACATGATCAAAATGAAAGTATAATTTTATACAAGTATAAAAGTATCTAATGAAGACCATATCAAGCTCTGTATTAGAATTGTATTGAATAGGGAATACATTTTTGTGATTTTAATCGATCGATTCCAGTCTTTATTTCTCTGATAGAACACGCTAACACTAGGTACTAGATATGTATATTATACTAGGTATTTTGGGGTAAAAGATTACATAATTTAAACAGAAGTACTCACCTGCCCATCCAAGGTAGCTTTGAATCAGTTGAAGCTGGCCCTCTATCCTGCCCTGCATGTTATCCAGATAGTGCAGAACAAAGCCAAGTGTGCTGTTCATTCGCTCCAGTTTAGTCATTAGATCAGAGTAGTACTGGGAGGTTTTATCCTGATACTGCAGAAACTCCACCATACTGGCATCTGCTTGTTGGAAAGACATTCAGCGTTTGTAAACACAGGTTGAGAACTAAGTTCAATTCTGCAATCTTGTTCAATGACCTATTTTATGATAAATGTCCTGAGCTTGATGCCTGACATCTGCAAGGTCTTTCACTATAGTATGGTGGCCATCTTGCACCTCAGAGCTTTGAATCTGAAGATGCTCACTGACATTTTCTAAAAGGAACAAAAACACAACCTCTAGATTCATATTCACACTGACCAAAATTACTTGTCTGCATAAAAACTAAAAAAAACTGCATAGCTACTTGCCCATTCTCTGTGTGATTCCTTGGATGAGCTGTGCTACAAGCTCCTGTCCTGAGGCAATTAGGGCCTTTTCCTGTCCCAGACGCTCCAGGTTGTCTTTCAGTGATGTCTCCATTTGTTCTTGTTCTTCATAAAGTTTGGTCTGCTGAGCCTGAAGAGCACTATGGCCTTCAAGAACTTTGTCCAAGGATGCTGCAGTCATCTGCTTTAGCTCGAGCTGGCCCTCCTGTCATGGTTATAATTTATATTAGGTCACAGTAGGGCTATAGTTGACTAAAAAGGGGGGCATAGCAAACCATCTCAAAACTACAATATTATACATGTCTCTATGGATCAGGCCCAGAACTGCAGACACAAACAAAAATTACAATTTAAGTACTAGGAAACAATATATGTATGTAAAGAGAGATTAAACTTGTGAATCATGAGTTGAATCTGCCTACATACCAAAAAACAAAATCTTCAGCCAACTCACTCATCAACTTCTTTCTCCTCCCTTCTCTTGTCCCATATAAATTCTTCTAATCCAAATAAAATTATTTGTCTACTACTTTGACCGACTAAGACACCATTGACCAATTAATCAACTAATTTTTATGCATTTACTGTGGACCTTAGAACTTTTAATATGTAAATGTACCTTCAGATCTTTCATTGCATCGAGTTGGCTGGTTGCTGTGGTGATGAGGGCGTTCACGGTGTGTTCTGCCCTGCGTCGGAAGAGCATCTGTCGAGTGGCATAGCACACAGACCGGGCTCTGTTGCTTACAATATGGTAAGCATTCCATGTGTCAGGGTCCATAGACGCTGTGCATTCTTTTATGGTCTAAAAAGTACAGAAAAAAGTATCTCAAACTATCCTTACATACCAGGCCCGGTTGCAGACCAAACTGACTGGGTGTGCATTTGAGTTTCAAAGGGGTACTTCCATAAGTAGCATTATTTTAGGCACCTGAATGAAGGTGAATATATTTCCACTTAATACTGAAAGGGTCTTACCATCTCCTCTGTACAAGGGTAAGTCCTGCGACCTTCAATCTCTCTGCCTGACAGTTAAATAGGACTACCCCAAGTTTAGCCAGCTGTTCTTCAGACAGGCTTTCACAGCTGGACTTCAGACGAGCAACAACCTGTGGAGAAGTGCATAAAGGTTATATTTTTGATTGATACTTCACAGCTGATGTCATCAACATCCGCTGGGAGTATGATGCTAACTATAGACTCTGCTCTGTCTGAGGCTTTATTAGTTAGTTGGAACTACAACAGGTGAGCCGATCTGTGCAATTAAACATGGGTCTCACACATAAAATTACAGTCACAAGCTAGACAGCATAGCAAAGAGTTTTTCATTAGTCACCCTCACCACTGATTGAAAATCTATCTCCTAAACAGGTTGATCACAGGCTCCTAAAAATGTGCTGTTTAAATTCATTTGGATATTTTTTCTTGAGTTTTCAGACAATCTTAAAACTTTGAGTGCTTGCTAAAGTGTACATTGTGTCACCATGGTAACATAGATGAATATACATGTACAACACCCCCAGCATGATGTCACTGCAAAGAATAAATATACATCCGGCATTAGGCAAATATTCACATGAATCTTACCCTGTGATGGCAGCTATCCAATGGACTCAGTTGCAATTGCTTAGCCTCTGCCAAAAACTTTTCATCTACTATAGCCATTTCAAACTGCGCATCTTTGGCCAGAAGCTCAGGAGCGACATGAGCAGATGAGGAGGCTGCAGGCTGCGATGCTGGGGGAGACTCAGCTCTTCTCAACCATTCAAACAAACCACACACGACAGGACAGTGGCAAATCAAAAGTGCAAAAACGAAGCCATTGTGAGTTAGGAGACGAGCCATGTCTGAAGAAGAAAATATAAGTTAAATATATAGGCTTTCTCTGCAAAAAATTTCAGAAAAGCGCAAAAACTCCTCCAGTGTATGTGAATATTGTCAAAGGCTTTGCCCAGACATGCCTGCTGCAGCCACTCAAGACCCTCCTCCTCTACTCACCAAATTATTTAGACTATTATTTACCAATATTTTAACAATGGTAAAAGAAAAAAAAAGTTTGATGAAAGATACATGCAATAGGTCTAAATGTAAACGGTTAATATAAAATTTCTAAATGTACCTGTTGGCTACATAATGTTGAGCCTTGATAAAATAAATGATGCGAATTTGTGTCAGATTTGATTTGTAAATGTCTTTCTGTCACTGTAATCCTGATTACCTGATTCTGTGTGGATGCGTGAGCCCCGTGCCCGGTCCAGCCACCCCACTCACGCGTCTGAAAGAAATTACTCATTATTTTGGCCAATCATCATCGAGTCCGCTCAGCCAATGAAGGAGTCACAGTTCATCAAAAGAAGAAGAGATGCTGCTGTGTTTGGGTTTCTTACTTTGAGCAAAATGGGAATATTTCACTGTGAGGCTATTTGATGTCACTTCACATAATACAAAAGTAGTCCCACACACAAACATTTCCAGTGTGCCATTGCATCGGCATTACGGTACAGCTGTGGAGCATCTCTAATTAACAAAATTTGGCCGGAGAATCAGTCTACAAGATATGTTACATTGACAAAAAGAGGTTCGGCTACTGTGTGAATTGGTTTATTTGCTATATGTTATGGAAACGTAACATCGTGAAATACTTTAGCCAGCTGATACCGTAAAAACCCGAGTAGTAAATTGGTTTGACCAATGACATGTGGACCCTTCCGTATCCTGTGACATAAGCAGCTGAGTGGAGAAAAACAGACGATTTTGGCTTGAAATAAAGAACAAACCTCGCAACGCAAACAGGTACCACAACCGCTCCGCTGTGAATGAGGCACCGCAGCGGGGATCCAGGCGACACTCCGTGTATTATGATTTCCCAGTCAACAGCAAACACGTGCTATGCATTTGTGGTTTTATTTAATCTGGGATTACTAGCAAAGTAAACGCATGTTACACCTAGTTCCGTTCCCGAAATGTTTACAGTGAGCTTGTGACATTAACGTTTACAAGCGAAAGCTGATTCTGGACATGTTGGCGACTGCTACAATGCTAGCCATTTGTTAGCTAGCTTAATCCAGACTGATTCAAGGCTCCACAGCATCTGTGCTTTACAGTAAACAGTCATCGCCACCACAACAATGGAGTACGCTGTAATGAAGAAGCAACACTACTGGGATGTAGAGGAAACGGAGATCTTTTTGCAAATCCTAAAAGAGTTGGACATTAAAGCGTGCTTGGACGGTAGGAAAGTGAGGAACGGTGGAGTGTTTAGGATGGCCCAGAGGAGAATGGCAGCAGCTGGCTTTGACAGGACGGCGGAGCAGTTGAGGGTTCGCTGGAAATTTCTGAAAAAATGCTATTACAAGTCTCAGCAGGATCCCAGCAATGAAGCCAAAATCCAGGGTTGGTTGCGCTATGAAAAGGCAATGGTCTCTATTTTGGAGTCCAAACAATCTATGGTCAACTCCAGTGTGAACTGCGAAGGCAATGATGATATGGTTGAGGACTCTGATGGAGATCACGATGGAGACTCCTCAATGCTGCCCATGCCAGACGCCTTTACGCAGCCCCTTCAGGACAGTTCAACACTGAACCTGGAATTAATTGTAGGAATGACACTGCCCATTTTCTGAGTTCATTATCTGAACCGTCCACATTTACAGAGATCATAATTATGTTGATTCATGTTTAGCCATCACCTTGTTTCAGTGGAGATGTTGCTGTTTTGCCTGGAATGTTTCACAGTATGGCACAACTAAAATAAGCACGTGAAGCCATTTCTATGGGTGAAACCAACAGTCAGGTCAGATCTGTGGAGTGGTGATCTCACTCACAGTAAGAATACATGTTCTTCAATGCAACAAGAAAAAAAACCCAGTTACTGAATAACTGAAGTAGATTTAATACAACACTGTGGAACATTCTGAACAATATCTCCATGGAGAAGAGCAGGTGGTGGCACACCACTATTAATATAGATAAGTTATATAAATATATCACAAGTGAACCTGGGCTGCCAATGCTTTTACTGTTTTGTTATGAATCATCAGCATTACTGTTAACTGTTATCAATAAGAGCTACAGTATATTTGATTTGAACATGTCTGCCTTGTATCTGAGGGCACAGGTGATGTTCATGGAGCCATTGTCTTGGCTGATTTAGATTTAAACCTTCTATTTAGTAATTTGACATTAGAACTTTGGAACATTTGAGCAGGAGAGTAAGCTATGTCAAAATTGTATGTATTAAATATTTTCCCCTCACCCACAGATTAAAATGGACCCTGAAGCAGACTCTCATCTAAGGATTGGTTTCATTGGGGCAGGAAACATGGCTTTTGGCATTGCAAAGGGTATCATATCAGGTAAGCAGAATATTAAACAGTTTCTGAAAAATATTAATAATATACAATTAAACCTGTGTAACAAAAAAATATTTGTTTAGGAAATGTTTTGCCAGCCAACATTAAAGTCAGTGCACCATCCAAGAGAAACTTTGGACGCTTTCAGGTTAATTATGCTGTTTTTGTAAAGTTAACTCAAAATTACAACATTAATGAGTATATGAACATGAATATGCCAAGTTAATATAATTGTGGAATGACTTACTTTTGTTGCTATGTTTTTGCTTGACAGGAAATTGGAATTACTGGCACAAATTCTAATGTGGAGCTGGTGTGTGGTTCTGATATTGTTTTCGTGGCAGTTAAACCTCACTTGGTTCGTGACGTTCTTAATGGAATCTCTGCATATAT